AGGGGGGGAAGGCCAGCTTTTGCTTCCGATCACCAAGGCCAGTGGTGGGCAAACTTTTTGACTTGAGGGCCGCAATGGGTTCATATATTGGACCCGGGGGCCGGACCAAGAGTAGATGAATGAGCCCCGCCCCCCACTAGCTGCTGGCCGGCCCAGCCACTACCATGCCATCCATAGTAAGTATAGTAATATTTCCCTATAGTAAGCATAGTAATTAATCCCCCATATAGTAATTCATCCCCCATAGTAATTCATCCCCCATATAGTAATTCATCCCCCCTATAGTAATTCACCCCCCCTATAGTAATTCATTCCCCATATTAATTCATCCCCCATATTAATTCATCCCTCATATAGTATTTCATCCCCCATAGTACTATTCCCCCCCAAGTAGTAAGCCAAGTCCCCCCTGTGTCAATTTACTTACCTTTGCTCCGCGCGTTCCTCTCGCCGTGTTCCCGCGCCGTTCCGGTCTTCAGAGCGGACTGTGAGAGGAGCCTAGCTCCCCTCACGTTCGTCACGCTGCCCTGCCTACACACATCCTGACAGCCAATGTTTGCCTGCCCTGGCTGTTTTTTTTTTTTTATCACGCTCCGCGGGCCGGATTAAAAGGTCCGCTGGGCCGTAGTTTGCCCATTGCTGACCTAGGCGATCGCAGCGGAAGTGAGAGCGGGTACCTATCAAATTTGGTCATCCGCTCCCCAAAGCTGCCAATCCTTAATGTGGAGGGGCAGACAAAGGCTTAAAGCGGAACTTCCCCTTTTGGGTGGAACTCCGCTTTAAAGACTCTATAATGCATTTTTGTCCATGTGTATTTATATAAGTACTCCTATTTTCTGTTTTGCTTTAAAAATTACAATGCATGTCTGGCCCAACTGTCCAAGCGTCACTAGCCCAATCCAATGTTTCTATGGAAATAATACATAGGGCATAATAAATGAAATTATCTGTAGTTTAAATGTTCATTTCTTTTGCAGAAGACTGGTAGGGATGAGTGGGGCCTTGTGTCAGGAAATATATATATATATATATATATATATATATATGTACAGGCAGTCCCCGAGTTATGAACTTTCGAGTTACGAAAGACTCGTACTTGAGAACGGAGGGAGAAACAGGAAGTGAGACGAAATCTACCCCTAGGAAAGGAAATTCACTCCTGTAAGAGTTATTATGGGAAAAAGATGTCTCCACTGAAGGTTTCTCACTAATCCTTGTATCTACGAACACCCAACATTTTCAAAATCCAATTGTCACAGGGAGGATGGTGAGGTGAAATCTTCTGAACAGGGGCACACACAGCAAAACAAATATTACAGGGATGTTAAACTCTCCCTATGCTACTCAGAAAAACATAGAAATATTTTTTTTGGCTGGAGCTACACTTAAAAAATGTACCTGTTCCAACTTACATACAAATTCGACTTAAAGTGTTACTAAACCCACAACAGTAAAATCAGTCTGTATATGCAGTAAAGAATACTTGTTATACTTACTGTGGAACCTAAGGGGTTAACCCTCTGCATTATGTAAAAAGCCTGTTTGATCCTGACTTCTCTGCTCCTCTTCTTGCTCAAATGTCCACGTCTTATCTCCTGATAAGACAGACTGAACCGTAGCCATTCTGCACATGCTCAGTTTAGTGTGTATTGCTAGAGAGGTTTCTTTTTTTTCTTGGGACAGTGCATGTGGTCAGCACAGCGCCAATCAGCACTGTCCAGACAGATGTCAGGGGGTTTTCATCCTCCTATCTCAGAAAGAAAACTCCTCCTACAAGCTGTAACCAGTGCTCTGCTGGACACTGATAGAAGTCACAAGACAGCTCTAACTGCTGATGAGAAAAGGTGCTTAGCAGTTTATCTGTACTAAAATAATTTAATTTCCATGTTCTGTGCACTGTGGGAGAGAGGATATAGTGAATGTAGGGTCCTGGGTTTAGTAACACTTTAAGAAAAGACCCTATCTTGTTTGTAACCCAGGGACCGCCTATATACTGTGTGTGTATATATATATATATATATATATATATATATATATATATATATACAGTATATAGCACCGAAATGCACTTCAAGTAATGATTTGTATGCATGTCTATCCAGCTCTGAAATTTACAAAGCTCTGTCACACAGCACAGCCTTGTCTGGCTGAACAGGAGACTTGATTTCCCTCTCTTGAAGACAATTAACACTTACAGGTCTCTTCCCTACCTCTACCCTGTGATTATGGCAGTAAAAGAAGCAGCATCTTTGTGTTACTTTGTTCCCTCCTCCTATCAGTGTGCTCCTTGTACTGCAGCACGACTGATTGACTCCTTGTGCTGCTTTTCTCTTTTACAGTCTGAGCTCTGCTGTACAATGACTACAAGAGGCTGATACCAAGTCTTACACTGCCTGCATTTAAATATGAATGTAATTATGTATTAATAAAAAAAAAGAGCTCCATACATTTTTAGCTTTTATTTCTGCCTGCCGTTCAGCTTTGAGCAATGTTATTATGCAAGATCAATTGAATAGAAAAAAAAAACACCTGATATCATTTGTGAAATACAAAAGGTGTTTTGCAATTACATTTTACATAGCATGATTGGAATTGAATGGTGTAGCTCATGGTCTACTTTAATTTGTTGCAATTTCTGCTTAAGCTATCCAATTTCCTCTGACTTACTTAAATGAAAAACATACCTTTTATAACAAAGGTTTATCCTCCCATAGATAGCCAGTTAAACAGTGGAGGCTTAGTCTGTTTGCAGAAAATATGGGCTTTCGGCATCCATGCATCCGTACAATACATGCCCTTAGGGATGCTGACATATGGGCTCTTGTGAAGCAAATATTAAAGATGAAACATCATAATTAATTAACTGATCCTCTACCAGGGTATGGAGGTTCTTCTATTTTCCTATGGTATATCAACAATTTAAGACCACCAGCTGCTTCATTTAAGTGCACCTGTAATAAGAGGAGTACCAGCATGACCATTGCTGATCTCCTTATAAAAAAATCAAGTTTACTGGCTGTGTCTGGGTTTCATAGACCTGGAACAAGAATGCTAGAAATGAGCAACAGAATAGTATCCTTATCTCTATTCTTCTTCCACATCAGTGACTCAAAAAAGCATCAAAGCACAGCATCAGAATGATAGCCAGGGACCTAACATTCACAAAAGGAAAGGTCAGCAACGACAGCCAACATCATTCTTTCATGACAGGTGTACTTTAACTGAGTGTATAGCAACCAACTACAATGCATGTGTTACTGATCTGATCACAGAAATCTGAAATTCACCATACTGTGCACTGAAAAAAAAACCTGTGTGTGGTGCAAAAATGCTGCTGACCGTTTGACGACTATTTCTTCTACTGTTTTTGATTTATTATATTGACTTGCAATATTAAAGTGTTACTTAACCCAGGATACTGCATTCACTGTATCTGGTCTCCCACAGTACGCAGAACATGGAATTACAATTATTTTAGTAAATGAAAACTGCTAAATAGCTTTTTTCATCAGTAGTTAGAGCAGTCTTGTGACTTCAGCAGAACACTGGTTATAGGTTGTAGGAGGAGTTTTCTTTCTGCTCTAGGAGGATGCAGAACCCCTGATCCTCTGACTGGACAGTGATGATTGGCCCTGTGCTGATCACATGCACTCTCCCAAGAAAACAAAAACCTCTCTAGCAATAAACTGAGCATATGCATGTGGCTATGGATCAGTCTGTCTTATCAGGAGATAAAAGGTGGACATTGAACAAGAGGAGAGGCAGAGAAAACAGGATCAAATTTCATTTTTATACAATGCAGAGGATTAACCCCTTAGGTTCCACAGTGAGTATAACAAGCATGATTTACTGCATATACAGGCTGATTTTACTTTTGTGTGTTTAGTAACACTTTAAGTGATTCACTAACTGAATCATAGCTTTATTTAATTCTTTATTCATCTAAATCCATCTAACAGTAACCCAATTGTGACATGAGCAAAGCTTCTCTTACTCTTGTGTTTTGATTATCTGGTTTGCTGAGTGTTGCGGCACACAAACATACAGTACACTGCCTTACAAAAAAGGAAAATGTGATTGCAATGAAACAAAAGTGCACATGACATCAAGGTGAAAAGGATCAGCATCAATGGCTAAGCTCCCTTTGAACAGGAGAACAAAACTAAACTGAAACCCAGCAGTGACTCAGAATCAAATAATGGGCGATTAGAAATGGACTGCTCCTTGTTTTCCATTCTTTATTGGACTATGCTGGTTATCAAAATGACATTGAAAAACAGAGATGAATTGTAATTTCTGATGAGGCTCACAGTGTTTAATGATGCATTATTAATGTTCTTTATCTTTCTAAAAATAGCTTTAACCATGTAGAGCACTTTAAAAGGCTTGTTGTGACCGGGACTTCTAATTGAAATGGTATACCTGTCTTAGAATCAAATGCAATTGTAACCTAGGCTGTTATGATTATTTGATTTTAAGTGCTTCACTTTTATACAGATTATTACAAAAGGATTATCAGTGCCACATCACTTGATGTTGATTCCTTTGCAATGGCTTTCACTGTCATTGAAAGACTATAAAATACTGTGAACTGTAGGATCCTTTTATTACCCAGATTGGTTGGAAACTGTGTGCAAGTGCTTTCAAAAATTGAATGTCAGCATTGCTTTCAAACACATAACTCAAAATCAATTTTGTGTCAACAGTTTATCTTGGAATATTGTTTCATTTCACAACTCCCATATGTGCAGTATAGTGGCTAAATGGTTACCACTCAGGTTGTTAGTTCAAATCCAATCCAAGGCTGGTGGGAATGCCTGCTTCTCCATGCTTTTTGGGCATTGGTCCTGTGATATTATACTGCTATTGCTGGGGTGACTGCTCCCAATGCCCCCTAAATAACCTTGCTCTCCATGCTTCCAGGTACTTTCAAACACATAAAAAAAGCATCCTTCATCCTGACAGTGTTGAGAATGGTGAACCCTTGCTATTGGCGTAAGACTCAGGTTCCCTCCTTGGCAGGGGCAGACTGACAACTCATGGGACCCCCGGGCAATAGGGGATCATGGGGCCCCTGTGTCCTCGCCCACACACAAAAAAGCCTATGAAAAAGCCACTGAAAGGTACCAGGGGCACCTCATGGGGCCCCCTACTGAGCCAGGGCCCTCGGGCAGTGCCCGAGTGCTTGAATGGTCAGTCCACCCCTGCTCCTTGGTTAAAAGGGTTACAGAGATGGACCATATTATTATTATTATTATTATACAGTATTTATAAAGCGCCAATAGTTCGCTCAGCGCTGTACAACCATATCAAGAAGATGGAGAGAATTCTGGCTCATGAATTCAGGGCCGTAGATAATTTTATGTCCTTTTGGGGGGTCAGCAGCAGGTACTAAGAAAAAGTCTTTTTTTTTTTAAAATAAAGTGCGCCAAATTCATAAAGATTGGAAAAAGAAAAACTATATTCAGTGGGTGTTACTGCAGTCTTAACAGCACCCCAAACACAGGCAGTAAATGCAGCACATTTGCCTGCACTGGATTGTATGGTACAAAACAACCATGCATTCTGGCTGCAGTGCTGTTCCAAAATCGGTGCATGCACGACTTTTTTGTGATTTGAGCCCTTTCAAAATGAATAGGCCCAAATTGCACCACCCTGAATTGTATGTGAATTGAACAGCAATGTGGCGTGGTTCCTGTGCGATTCATATGCAGGTCATAATGTGAACTTAATCATTCCAGCCTGACTCTGGCAGTTATCCTGTGGTACTCACGGCTGAGTCACAGAGTTGAGGGAGAACCCAGTGAGCACCACAGCATGGCTGCCAGTGCCAGGCTGGACTGCCAATAATGCAACAGCAATGGAAAACTCAGCCCAACCTCAATCAATATCATTAACCATTTGAAGACCAGGCCTATTCTGACACGTGTCTCCTACATGTAAAAATCAATATTTTTTTGCTGAAAATGGCTTAGCACCCCAAACATTATATAAATATATATATATAAAATGTTTGGGGTGCTAAGCCATTTTCAGTAAGAAAATACTGATTTCTACATATATATATATATATATATATATATATATATATATATATTAGCAGAGGCCATAGAGAATAAAATGGTGTCGTTTTTATGTCACACGGTATGTGCACAGCGGTTTTCCGAACACAATTTAAAAAAAAACGCTTTAAACACTATAGCCCAATTTTCAGTAAAATGTAAAAGATGATGATACGCTGAGTAAATAGATTCCTAACATGTCACGGAATGGCAAACTACAATACCTAAAAATCTCCACATGTGGCTTACTACTATCTATCTATCCATTCAGTCATATCCGACCCTTGGTGCTTGCATGGACCGTCACTCGTATGCAACTTTTTCCATGAATTCTCTTAGCAATTATTTTTACAGGGTAGATTGCCAGCTCTTTCCCCAACCCCTACCATGCAGGAGATCCCACGTGGCCAGGGATGAAACTAGGGTAATTTAGACACTTACTACTATAATACCTAAAAATCTCCATAGGTGGCTTACTACTACAATACTTAAAAATCTTTAAAAACTTTTACAGGTTACCAGTTTAGAGTTACAAAGGAGGTCTAGAGCTAAAATTATTGCTCTCGCTATAACGTTTGCAATAATACCTCATATGTGTGGTGCTAACACTGTTTACATATGCATGCACGACCTAGGTATGTGTTCGCCTCTGCACAAGGAGGTGATGGGGGTGCTTAAAATTTTTTTTTTTTTATATATTTTATTTTTTAAAAAAATTTTTTTATACTGTCCCTTTATTTTTTTAACACTTTTATTTCAATCACAAGAAATGTAAACATCCCTTGTGATAGCAATAAAGCTCTTTATGTAGTCATCTGATCTCTCCTCTACCCTTGAAAGCATGAGATAAAAATAACTGCTACTGCTAGATGTGAACAGGGCCTAACACAACAGCAATGGAAGACTCAGCCCAGCCTCAGTCACTGACATTGCCAGTTGCCACACAGTCTCTCAGAGTTACCTAATATGAACAGAAGAATGGCAGCAGCAGCACAGCAGTGGTAAGTCTGGAGGCACTCTCTGAGGCTAGGCCAAAAGGGAAAGAGGGACGCACCTGTGACCTGGAGAGCAGCCGTTCATTTATGCGGCAGACCGGCAGCTACACTATGCCCTTGTAAGCCTTGCATTCTGCGAGCCAGGGCCCAGGCAGAGCTCCTCCCCCCAAAGCCCATGGTGGGACGTACTGCAAGCCAATGGGAATACAGGGTGTAGAGAGTGGTGGGTGGGACTATGGGCACTGCTCCCACTGTGCTAAATGTGCTGCCTGGTGGTCAGGGCTGGGCTGACAACTCATGGGGGCCCCGGGCAATAGAAGATCACGGGGCCCCCTATTCCCTGCTCACACTCAAACATAACAGAACAGAAACATAACAGAAAGTGACATTCTACACACACAAGTTTACATTATATAATCAATGCATTGATCTCATGAATACACTGTCTCTACTCTTTCCCATTACTTTAGGACTCGTTCACATGGGCCACCAGGGGTCGGTAAAATCAGGCAGTAACAGCATAGTACCACCTTCTTGTGCAACCCATGTAAGTGTCTGAGGCTGCACCGCAACTGTTGTCATCGAATTCCCATTTTCTCTTCAATGGCACACTGCAACTGTCCCACAAAATGCACATGGTTGCAGGGTGATGGTGTGACATTTATAGGGATATAGCAGGCTGTGAGAAGGCAACGTATCACCTCCCATTAAACATGTCTGAGAAGTAATTCACCGTGGATTACTTTTCCAAGAGACAGCAATGGCTGACCCCTCTACCCATTCTCTCCCCTGATACTCCTGCACTGTTACCCCTCTACTCCCCAGATACCCCTTGCACTGTCACCTGTCTACCTCACAGATATCCCCCGCACTGTAACCCCTCTACCCATTTCCTCCCCACCGATACCCCCTGCACTGTGACCCCTCTAGCCATTCCTCCCCAATACACCCTGCACTGTGATTCCTCTTTTCATTTACTCCCCCAAATACCCTTGTACTGTAACCCCCTACACATGCACCACAGTACCACCCTCACTGTGACCCCTCTACCCATTCTTCCCCCTGATACCCTTGCACTGTGACCCCTCTACACCCCAGATACCCCCTGCACTGTGACCCCTCTAACCATTCCTCCCCAATACACCCTGCACTGTGATTCCTCTTTTCATTTACTCCCCCAAATACCCTTGTACTGTAACCCCCTACACATTCACCACAGTACCACCCTCACTGTGACCCCTCTACCCATTCTTCCCCCTGATACCCTTGCACTGTGACCCATCTACCCATTCTTCCCCCTGATACCCTTGCACTGTGACCCCTCTACACCCCAGATACCCCCTGCACTGTGACCCCTCTAGCCATTCCTCCCCAATACACCCTGTACTGTGATTCCTCTTTTCATTTACTCCCCCAAATACCCTTGTACTGTAACCCCCTACACATGCACCACAGTACCACCCTCACTGTGACCCCTCTACCCATTCTTCCCCCTGATACCCTTGCACTATGACCCCTCTACCCATTCTTCCCCCTGATACCCTTGCACTGTGACCCCTCTACACCCCAGATACCCCCTGCACTGTCACCTCTCTACCTCACAGATATCCCCTGCACTATGACCCCTCTACCCGTTTCCCCCCCACCGATACCCCCTGCACTGTGACCCCTCTATCCATTCCTCCCCAATACACCCTACACTGTGATTCCTCTTTTCATTTACTCCCCCAAATACCCTTGTACTGTAACCCCCCTACACATGCACCCCATCCCCCCATCCATTGTGACCCCTCTATGCCCTTGATACCTATGACTAAGTTCCCCCCATCCCGCCTCACCACTGTTTCCCTCCATACGCCCTAGATGTCCCCCAGCACTGTTATCTTATCAATACAATACCCCTTTTCTAATGCAAATACAATTATGTGAAGCTTTATGTGCTCCTCTCCAGCACTGTGACAAGGACTTACCTATGTACCATGTCATGCCGGCAGAAGGCGGTCCCAAACTCAGCAGCATTCACAGTCCACCACACAGTCACAGTTCCCCCTCACAAGGCTGCTTTCCGGATTCATGATGTAGTTGCTCACACGAAGACGACAGCTGTCAAATCTTCTGGATGATGTCAGGAGAGGGAATGTGCATGACGCGTTTCCAGGGACTTTGCCCTCTTTTTCAAATGCAAATTCAAAATGTACTTATACACTTTTTGGATTTGCTACACTGGATGGATGAGCATAACAACTCTTTTACCACAAGGCACCCTATTTTACTATATTTGTAACCTAAAAAGGTGGCTTTAATTTGCTGTTGGAATAATTTTTAAAGCAATTTTAATCACAAACGATAAAACACACAAATCCATTTAACTGATTATTGTATCACAGTTCCAAATTGAAAGTTACAAAACAGCCAAAAAATAACAGGTACAATTATTTTAATAAATGTCTTATTAACTTTTTAGAACCATTGATATAAATGAATACATATGGTTAACACTCAGTAATTACAGTTTTCTTAATTATAGTCATAGAGTTGTTATATTGGCTGTGAATCACAAAGGAATGCTCTCTTTATTCAAGAACACATTGAATGAGAACACATTGATAAAATATACACAAAACTCAAAAAGTGAGCAAGGTGTACTCGAATGAAAGGATGTTATCAATTAATTCATGCCAGTTTCTAAAGAGCTTACTCAAGGTGTCATGGTGGCTTTCATATTGGCTGACACAATCACATTTGGCTGTGAACTCCACATCCGTTCCTCTTTTAGGAAATCCATTCACCTTTTAAAAGAGAAACTTCCTCCTCTCAAAGCTGTAAGACCTTGGCGAAGTATATAAAGCAAATAGACTCATTGTGCAAATTTGAGGCCTCTTGATTATTAATTCTGCCAATGTTTTTGTCAACACAAGATTCCGGTACATAACTTCATAATGGTCACTTAGCAAATTTACCAACAGCAACAAAATTAGCATTAGACAACAAGCACTAATTGTGTTTTTTTCTTGGGGATGTATTTCATTAAACACTAATACCTCTTTAAACAGTCATTTTAATGCTTTATGCTAAAATATACCGGTATATTGCAAAATATGGAAGTTTTTTTTTTAATTTGTTTTATAATTCCTCTTCCTCTACACTGAGCT